GGGTTACTAAAATTTACAATGTTAAACATGCTGCAGCCACTGGTATCTGAGCTTAAGAGTATCATTACTTAAGTGTATCGTTACTGAAGTGATTGTGGTGTAAAAATCATTGGGGACTGGATCATACATCCCCTGAATTTGTAAACTATTCACCTCCAAGATCAAATCTGACTCACAACTGAACAGTTAAACATCCCCACACTGTTTGGCAAGGTTCTTAGGCGAACTGAGCTTAAACAGTTTCTCAAAACAAACTACCTTAATTTGCCACCTAATTACTAAAGAAAATGACTTCCCTACTCAAAGAAAGCACAAGGATGCTTTGTGGTTTAGAATCCAAAGTAGAGGCAACATTATTCTGCTTTTGGCCGTGTGATACATCTGACTAGGCACTTCCTGACACCAAGCCAAAGAATTCTATTCTACAGCACTTCTTTGAAAAGCACATAAATTTGCAAGATCAGATCAAATTCAGAGTTTACCATAAGTTCTAAACTGATGGACAGTCTGCTTCAAATGTAACTAAAATTAAGTGGCTTCCCACATGTCTGCTGCCTTGACTTCTACCACCTGTAGAAGTCATAGGCCAGGGATAGGCCACATTTTATTTAACAGAGATCCTATTCGGCTGCATGCTGAGAATTTAACATGTACAACAAAATGTCATATTTTTGTCAATATATTTACTCATTTTAACTAAAGCCTGCTATTATAGGAGGGCTTTAAACAAAATAAAAACTCAGCAAAGATGCATTTATTTGTTTGGCAAAGTTGACAATAGAACTATTAATAAGTGAAAAACGTAGACAACAAACCATTTACAGACATTTTTGTGATTGTTTATTGTGACACAGGAATCAGGTATTTGGTTCCAACATCGTTGACCGTAGCTTTAATTGGTCCTCCAGGTGAATATCTATCATCTGAGATCTCAAAGGACGTTTTAACTTGAGTCACATATGAAAGTATTGTTTCACAACAGTAGGTTGTGCCAAAACAAGACAGCATTTGCTGAGGGCATTGACATAGACATAGACATGGGTATTCAATGGCATTTTTCCATATTTCAATGGGATTCTTCTTAACGTCAAAGAGACTTCAGAATATTATCTTCTGAGAGCTCAATCAATTCCATCTGTAAGTCATCAGGTGCTTTGGAGACATCAACCAGGCATGGTTGAAAAGCTAGTTTCAGTGTGAGACCATGTTTCTCAAAATCTGCGAACCTTTCATTGTATTCTTCAATCAGGGAGTCTAGAACAGCTGTGCATTCTTTCACGTCACACTTCCTTTACGATTTACTTGTATTCTCTTCATTAATTACCTTTGCCACTCAGGAAAGTGTTCAGCTGAAAGTTCTGGTCAGGTAGGGAGAGTATTGAGAAAGGTCAGCTTTTTTCAAAACGCCTGGATTTTTAGTCACATATCATATATAGATTTAGTTTTATCTTGCAAAAAAATTCAGATCATTTTGCTTTGACATTTCATCACACAAAAATGCAGCATTTCTGCAGAAATCCCTTTTTGACAATTCACACGGTTCATTTAGTTCCTCAAAAGATCTTGTGATTTGTTTTTGCAAATGTAAAAGTTTTACAAGTATTTGTCCTTGTGACAACCAGCGCACTTTAGAATGATATGGCAGATCCACACTGAATGTTTCATCATCAAGCTGAATTATGTGAAATTGGTGACGCTGGATGCATTTGCTCGAATGTAGTTTACAATACCTATAACTTTATTTCGTGTGACACCTAAAACAGTAGATTTGGCATAGAGATTCTGTTGATGCAAAAGACAATGAAAGGAAATCAAAGTATCTGGATCTGGCAATTCTTTTTGTAGTAACGCAATAAATCCTTCATGTTTTCCTCTCTTGGAAGGTGCACCTTCTGTGCATACACTTCCTAAATTACATAAATTCAGTTTCGCTTCACGGCATTTTTCTTTGAAGACAGTGAAGATGTCAATTGCACGTGTCCTCACCGTAAGGGTACCCAAAGCCAATAACTCCTCATGGCAATGAAAATCCACAGTAATAACACAAATAAAAAATAACACCTGCACTGAGTCAGTAATGTCAGTGGATTTATCCACGGCAATCGAATAATAAATGTCCTCGCTTTGGCATTTTGGCATATGAAGTTGTTCTGTTGTATGGAGGGCTAATACATGTTGCTGATCAGTTATGGTCCTTCTTGAAAGAGGCAGTTGTTTTTACTTATTAAGCTTATCTGAATCTAAACATCCTACGACTTCAACAATGCATTATTTTATGATTTCCGCATTGCTAAATGACTTACCTCTTCTTCCAAGTATATATACTAATTTATAAGTTGCTTCAATGAAGTCAGGCCCTTGTCCTGACGTCGTTTTAAATACTTGCTGCTGCTTTTGATCTTTCGTTTTCTTAAGTACAGACTTTTGGGGTTCTCCTTCCAGTTTAGCATATTTGTGGTCCTTATGAGTTGCATGATGCTGATTTGCATTGTATTTCTTTACTGTTGCAATTATGGCATCACAGAGCAAATACACCATTTAATCTTTCACAGCAACGACATAGTACTACAATTCCCATTCTTCATTGAATACCGTTCTCTCCCTTTAATGTTCTTTTAGTTTTTGACGTGACAGGGTTACCAGTAAAAAATTTTAAAGTAATACAAGGATTTAAAAAGGTGGATTTAGTATTGGTGGACAAATAGACAGAAGGCTGCAGGTTCCCCACCCCTGTCGTAGGCTGTTGCAGTGTATTTTGTAAACATGATACACCACCTTTAAAATGCTGTGGTGGCGGAGGGAGGGAATGCTTATGGTGGTGAGTGGGGTGCCTATCAAGTGGGCTTTGTCCTGAATGGCATTCAGATTCTTGAATATCATTTGAGCTATCCTCAGGCAAATGAAGAGAATTCCATCACACTTCCGATGCATCTCACAAATGTAGATGTGCAGTGGGGAGTCTGGAGGTTAACTCCTCACTGCAAAACATCCAACATCTGTTCTGATCTTGGAGCTTAAGTATTTGTATAGCCGGTTCAGTCTAGTAAATGGTAATCCCGAGGATGTTGATAATAGGAAATTTAGTAATTGTAATAGAATTGAATGTGAAGGAAAGATGGATAGATCTTCCCCTGTTAGAAATACTAACTTCCTAGTACTTGAGTGACACAAATGTTACTTATCAGCCTAAACTGGCATGGACTGCTTCAGTATGAGGAGTTGAAAATGGTACAGATTATTGTGCAATTAGGCAATATCCCCAATTCGGACACTGAAGAAGAAAAACATTGAAAATGGTCAGGCCTCGGAAACTACTCTGAGAAGCTGCCGTTTCTGAATTTCAGATCAACTGTCTCCAACAACTACAACCAATTTCCTAAATGCCAGTTATGATTCCAACCAATGGAGAATTATCCAAGACTCTCATTGATTTAACCTTTGCTAATGCTCCTTGAATCTACATCCAACATACTATCTTGATTCAGGATCAGTACTCTCACCTCACCTCTTGATTTCAACTCAATTAAACATGTTCAGATCAAGGCTGTTAATATGTCAGAATTTCGTAACGCTAGTGGAACTCAAATGGAGTACTGACAAACAGATTAAGCAGTTCTTACTATCTCTGATTGCAGAGTTAAGTGCCATTTAAAAGCACAATCAATGATGCCATTCCTGACATTGCTTTGGATTGAGTATTTACTGATGGAGTGGTAATTGGCCAGATTGGACAGGACTTGTTTTTCGAGAGAAGAAAAAATAATGTATGACTTGGAGGGCAGGTAATGCCAATGTTGTAGTTATACTGAAACATCTTGGTAAGGTGCATAGGTGATTCTGGATGACATCTTTAGTACTAACACCAGGTTGCTGTCAATGCCCATACTTTTATCCATTTTCTTTTTTATTATTTCATAAGAGTGTAGGCATCATTGACGAGATCAGGATTTGTTAGTCATATCAATATCCCTTGAACTGAGCGACTTTCTAAGCCTTCAGGTGGCAGTTAGGAATCGACCACGTTGCTGTGAGTCGAAAGCCACATGTAGGCCAGTCTGGGTAAGGATGATAGATTGTCTTCTCTAAAAAAGATTAGTATCTGTTGCTTGGGACCTCAGGAAAGACCGAGATGCACCATCCTCTTAAGACTTCTGACTAAAGATAGTTGAAATGCGTCAGCTTCATTGGCACTGATATGCTAGGTTCCAATCAGTGAGGATAGTGATTTTTGTAGAGTCTCCTCTACCGACTGGTTTAATTTTCCTCATATTTAATTAAACCTACCAGGACTGCAGAGTTTTGACTTGATCCATTGATTGTGGGATTTAAGGTTTTAGCAAAGAAATTGTGGAATATTTTGATCTGTCCATCACACTTCTGCAATTTAGCATACACGTAGGACACGCTTGATCAGAGTGTCATTATCTCATTCTAAGGACTACACGATGCTGCTGCTTATGTTCTCAGTTGGTCAATTCTCTGGCTTGGTGACAAGGTCGGTTGAGAGATATACAGTGCAATGAATTTGCAGGTCGTTCTTGAATACAATTCTACTGTTGATGGTCCAGAAGTCGCCTCATGGGTGGCCAGACTTAAGCTAAATTGAAATTCAGTATATAATACAAACCTACGACCTGGTGTTGGTAACGATACACTAGCAACACCGCCTGCTTTAACAGGGTCCTCCTATACAGAGGTACACGCATAACCTCTGAACGCCAGCAATCCTAATGAACACCTCGGCAAAACCTTGCAGGTTTTACTTTTAACGCTTGTCTTGAAGAACTTATTTGAACACACGTGACAACAGAATGCAAAAACTCACCAACCCCCACGCCACGAATAGTACCCGGGCACACACGGCGCACGCTGATGAAGTCACCCCACATGCCCTTGGGCGCGCGGTGATGACGCGCAGAGACCCACTTTGATTGACAGTTCGTGGCGTGAATGGGGTTAAAAGTAGCAGCCAATAGCAGCGCAGCCTCGCCGCGCTATATAATTCAATGGGGACGTGTGGGACGCTCGGACACCAATCAGGGTAACGTGGAGAAAGGCTGAGGAGGGAAGAGTAGGCTGAGAATTAAACCGGTTTCTTAAAATTCTCGTCATTCAGGTAAGGTTATTTAAAGAAAAAAAAAATTGAATGCTATCCTATAATTTGCATCCTTTTGTTTCAAAGCTGTTTTGCATTTAATCTGAATGCAAACTCTAGCAAAAATGCATGTGTAACTGTCTTCGAATAAATTGCAAAGTATTCGAAAACTTGAATTAAAATTATTTTGCTATGAAACGAAAGAGTCAGCTGTGGTTGCATGCTTTAGTTTAATGAAGTATTCCTCATTCCCTACCTACATCCAAATGAATTATTTTGGATGTTTGCTCCGAGCATTCTTCTGTGCATTGACTGACTAGTAAAGCAGTATTGAAGGAATTTTTAAATTAGAGTTCATGGATTGTCTTTATGTTAATGAAAGTTTCCTCGGGAGTAAAATGCTTCTAATATTGAAAACGACATTCAAATCTAATTTTGTGTATTTAAGATAAAGATTCCAGCAAGCTTGGAAAGGATCAAGAATGGCATTTGGGCTAATCCATTGGTTTTAATCTGTGACATCTGGACTTTTAACACTTAAATAGCTGCTGTACTTGAATTGTCCTCAAATGTTGCATATAATACAACGGGAAAGGGTCGCGAAGGACGAGGAATTTACGTAATTGGAAGGTTATTTGAGAATCCAATAGTGTCCTCAGCAATACGGAAGAATTATAAGACAATGTCGGAAGGGCGAAAGTATTAAACGCTCTAAATGTCAAAAATCCATCTCTTCAAATAAAAATCACGAAATCGTTTTCAGTATCCTTGATGATATCGGTAATCGAGACCTCGAAATGTAAGATGTGTCTGAAAGATGCTAGAGACTTTGCTATTATCGCCCAGAAGTTTAATTACACCATTTGCTTCAAGCACTCTGCAAATTTCGAATAACTCGTGTTCTCGAATTCACGGTTTAGAAACCAGCGTTCTTGCTGAATGGCGTGTTTTTAAAAGCCGCAAATGGGTCTCAGTCGTATTTTTAAAGAGCTGGACGGAAACTATTCAAAGTCTGGTTATTAGAAATCCGTCCTTTCAAATGCGATTTCTAAAACTCTTGTTTGCGTTCGCAGCGAAGCGGTTACTATGCCATTCAGCAACAGTCACAACCTTCTGAAGATGAAGTATTCCGCGAAAGAAGAATTCCCGGATTTGAGCCAACACAACAACCACATGGCTAAAGTTCTGACCCTGGAGATCTATAGCAAGCTGAGAGATAAGCAAACCTCCAGCGGATTTACCCTTGACGATGTCATTCAGACTGGGATTGACAACCCAGGTAAAACCGCACTGTAACGAGCCATCTGCTTTCCTCTGTACGAGAATGTTGCTTTCCAAAGGCTGTACGAAATCAATTGGAAAATGTAAACTAATCCCGACCTTGATCAGCTGTCAATATAGCCTGTCATGTCCATCACAATTAAACGGATCATTTATTAAATGGTATTTCCATTTTAAATTTAAAGTATTCTGATTTTTAGCCTCTGGGCTGCTGAGCCTTGATGGATTGGATTGGTTTGGATTATACCAAGCGCGGCAGCGACCTTCTGTAAAGGGATGGTAGATGGTGTCTGGGATGTGATCCGTCCTATTTATGTTTGATTTTCATTTCCATGTGGTTGTGACTTTCCCCCGCACCTCCCAATGACCGTGCTGAAAATCAAGAGATTATCGCCCGGAGAGTCCCTCTAATCTGAGCAAACGCAACAACCATATGGCCAAAGTGCTCTACAAGAAACTCCAAAAACAAGTCCACTCCAAGTGGCTTTACTCTGGATGATGTACAGGGATTGATAACCCCTGTAAAACCTTCCAGTCGGCTGAATGAGAGTGTCGAGTCCCTTCTCTAATCGAATTAAACAGTGTTTTAGTGGCCCGGCTGATTTTCCACCTCCCCGCGGTAAACTCCTGATTGTCAAAGGAACGTAAGACATGTCCTTGTGTATCACTAAGTGACCGTTTTGATGGTTTCTATACTATCGCACCTCACTTGAAGTAAACAGATATTTTGGAACACTTCAATTGTCAGTATTGCAATCCAATTCTAATATTGAAAGTTTTTTTGTTCCCAATCAAAAACGCTATAAGCAACATATTTCTGATGCTCAGTACTCTTTAAAAAAATATTCATTCTGCCCTCCTTGCCTTCTGGTTAAAATTCTAACTCTGGCAGATTTAATTATCAACTCCTAAAGACAATAGGAAACACTATGTATTAGTGCTTTTCTCTCTTTTTTTCCTGTACAGGTCATCCATTTATTATGACAGTAGGTTGTGTTGCTGGTGATGAAGAATCCTATGTGGTTTTTAAGGACCTCTTTGATCCAGTCATTCAGGACCGTCATGGTGGCTACAAACCTACTGATAAGCATAAAACTGATCTTAACCATAAGAATCTCAAGGTGAGGGATCTCTATATGGAATTTTTAAAAATTCACTTGTGGGATGTGGGCATTGCTGGCTGGCCAGCCAGTAATTTATTGCCAAGCCCTTATTGGTCTTGGAGGTGCTGGTGGTGAGCTGCCTTCTTGAACTGCAGGTGCCCACCTGCTGTGGGTTGACCCACAATACCATCATGGAGGGAATTCAATGGATTGTGTCTTTATTTTTACATGAAAAATAAATGAGATGTAAAACTGCTGCTGGAAGTATTTTTGACTGGCATTATACTGGTAGTACTAAAAGGCTACTTTTTTTTTGCCAGAGCATTTGCTAGCAATATTGTGAAGAACCTACTGATTTCTGTTTTGACACCACATTTTAACATCTAGAATCTCTGCCTGGAGAATTTTTATAGCTTCCTATGATGCCTTTAATGGGACTAGCAAAGCTTGACTTGTGATTTGCCTATGCCCTGGTTACCAGTTTAACAAATAATAATATTACTGAAAGGCATTTTGTTGAATCTCTTTGCATTACGCTCACAGGATACTTGCAAGAATACCAATGGAAAAACATTCATTGCATAAAATGAGATGTTCAATGCATTTATAAAAAATCAAATGAGGATTGGTTGTTTTTTTTTTGTTGCAAATTTTTAAAGGAGAACTCTCCCTGTCCCATTGTTTCACATGGAAATTAAACATTTTAAATTGCCTTCTTGAATTCATTTGATCACTTTCACCATTTTCTGTAGTCAAGTGGGACCATAGAGACCAATCAGTTCAAGGTGTTTTGTGCTGTGAGAAGAGTAATCTGATGCAGATGATTGGTCGAACTGTTGCCATGGAGAATGTACACACATTGTGCCTGTTTCAACTTAATGAACTAGCTTACAGCCATTCTGATACCATTCTTAGGGTGGCACTTTTTGACTAATTTTAAATTTAAACTAAACAAAGCCTGGCAGTTAACTGAGATAGTAGGAACTGCAGATGCTGGAGAATCTGAGATAACAAGGTGTAGAGCTGGATGAACACAGCAGGCCAAGCAGCATCAGAGGAGTAGGAAGGCTGAC